TTATTTATTTATTACATAAAATTATCAAGTTAAACTTTATGTAAAAATTAAATTGAGACAATTAAATTTAAATAGAGGCAGTAGAGTCTAAACTTATTAAAGTTGAACGGATGGATGAAGTATTATTTGACTCTAACTTCACTGCTTGTATCTTCCTTGACAGTATTAAACTGTAATAATAGTTATAAATTTGTTAGTCTTTTGATATTTCGAAAGCATACAAAATATATTTAATATTTATTTTAATTAATATTATATATGTATATTTTTTATTTACGATTTAAATAATTTAACATATAACTATCTTTTTTTATTAGAATTAAAAGGCCTTGACTTTTAATCATATGACATGGGAGTAAAGTGGATTAAAAGATAAGAGGTAATTACGTGTAACTAAGATAAAAAAATAGTTTATATATTTTTAAAATAATAAAAAGATATATAAACAAAAAATTAAAACAGCAAGATGCGTTACTTCTTTTTTTAATTTTGGATATTACTTAAAGAAGTAAACGACGTCGCTTGGAAGCCCTAGGGCTAAACATGCTATTGCAAACCCTAACCCTAATTTAAACTTATCTTCTACGCCCCTCTCTCCCATCTCCACGGACAACACTCTCCATGGGTCGCGTAATCCGAGCTCAGCGTAAGGGTGCTGGATCCGTCTTCAAGGCTCACACCCACCACCGCAAGGGTCCGGCCCGCTTCCGCAGTCTCGACTTCGGCGAGCGCAATGGCTATCTCAAGGGCGTTGTCACCGAGATCATCCACGACCCAGGCCGTGGTGCCCCCCTTGCCCGCGTCGTTTTCCGTCACCCCTTCCGTTACAAGAAGCAGAAGGAGCTCTTTGTTGCCGCCGAGGGCATGTACACTGGCCAGTTCGTGTACTGCGGCAAGAAGGCCACGCTCGTGGTAGGCAACGTCTTGCCCCTCAGATCTATTCCTGAAGGTGCCGTCGTCTGCAACGTCGAGCATCATGTTGGCGACCGTGGCGTTCTCGCTAGAGCTTCTGGTGATTACGCCATTGTTATTAGCCACAACCCTGATAACGACACCACCAGGTCTCTGATTCTTTGATTCTAACTCATATAAGTCTGCATCTTTGAACTTGTGTAAAGTGTTGCTTGCAGTTTTGTTCTGGTACTTCCCATTTTAGAACCCTTCCATTTTTTGCTGTTAGACATTTTACGGTTTTCGCTCTTGGATTGTTGATTCTTAATGCTGCATATATGATCCTCTTGAAGCTTCTTATTGCCAATAGTATTGATATTTACGTTCTATTTTGTTTCCATTTAGTGATGGAATTGAAAAGAATCTTAATTTTTATAGAAAGAAAGATGCTTACCTTTTAAGTTTTTTCTAAAGCTATTTGTAAGCTTGATTTTTCAGCCATTTCCATCAAATTGGAATTGGTTTTGTTGTGAGGTCGACTAAACATTTGCTATGAACATGCTATTCAACGTCTGTAGTACCCTTTTGTGTTCTAATTCTTCAAGTTTTGGCTGGTTGAGTTAGGCCGAATGAGTGCTATTACCCATCTAGAGTGTTAGTTTAGTTGCTTATCTCTTTCATCCCAATTCATTGGTGGAAGGAAAGATTCTCCTTGGAGAATATTATCTTCATACATGGAAGATAGTTTTACCATTTAGATCATATGCATGCCTTGATAGTGATAAAAGCTTGACTGATCAGTTGTATGAAGTAATCTCTTCTATGGATTGTTACAGAATCAAGCTTCCATCTGGTGCCAAGAAAATTGTTCCAAGTGGATGCCGAGCGATGATTGGGCAAGTTGCAGGTGGTGGGAGGACTGAGAAACCACTTCTCAAAGCTGGTAATGCTTATCACAAGTATAGGGTGAAGAGGAACTGCTGGCCTAAGGTGCGTGGTGTGGCAATGAACCCAGTTGAGCATCCTCACGGAGGTGGTAACCATCAGCACATTGGACATGCTAGCACTGTTAGGCGTGATGCTCCTCCTGGACAGAAGGTTGGTCTTATTGCTGCAAGGAGAACCGGTAGGCTCAGAGGTCAAGCTGCTGCAACTGCTGCCAAGGCCGATAAGGCTTAGGCATACGTTATTACTTGTTTCCTTTTGTCATTTCTCCTTTAGGAAATATGTTTGAGAGTATCAAGTACATCGTGGTGACAATTTTGTTCACTTTCACCACCCTTCGATATCATTTTGGAATGTTTTATAATGAATAGCAGATTTTCCATCCAGAGAATTTGGCTCCAGTCCTGGCTCCATGTCAGCTATAACTTGATTGTGATAGGGTTGGTATTGGCTAAAGTGATTAACCACATGCATCTTCGAGTCTCTCCCCACTTGGGTCTAAAGAACTCGTGGTAGGTGATGTCCGCTACTGTGGTTTTATTTGAGAATACTGGTTTGTAGCTAACGGTAATAGGTTTTTTTTTGGTATTTTAATATCTTAAAAATCTATAAAATATATTTAATATTTATTTTAATTAGCATTTTATATATTTTTAAAATGTTAAAAAGACATAAGAAGTTAAAGTATTGAGAAACGTTGTCAAATGAAGGCTTTATTACTTGAAGGTGGACGTGATTCTATTTCAATTGTAACTAAAAGTGAACTATTGGTTTGTCTTCCACCCATGTAGTTGTTATGATCATGTTTTTTATTGAGAAGTAGGTGAAAGCATTCTGATTCTTCAAGTTGAGTTTTTAATTTCACATTTATTTGTCTTTTTAATGTAGATACTAACATTATTAATGTAATTTTTACTTTCAAAAATAAAAGTAAACTATTAACTAATTAAGGTTTTGGGTTTTAAATTTTAATAACTATTAATCAAATTGTAAAAGATAAGTTTTACCGGTTTTCAATTACATTTTTTAAAGTAATCATTTGGATCGTTTCAATTTTAATTAAAAAATTATTTTTAGATTTTTTAAGTAAGTTTTTGAATTCTTTGATTATTATTTTGTTAATTTCAATCATTAAAAAATTAAAAATTATTCAAATAAATAAATAAATAGCTTTAAAAAGGCTAAAAAACCGTACAAAAATCTAGAAACTATTAAAAATTTTATATAAAATGTTTTTAGTGTAGATTTTTTTTGTTATATTTACCCTAATTATCAGTTTTTTAATTTTTAAATTTAGCAACTAAAACTTAAATAATTTAAAATTAGTTCAATTTATTTCCTAATCAAATAAATCCAAAACCCAATTAAACTCTATCATTGGTTACGATTTTATCAGTTTTTGAATTTTTTTTGATTGTCAAATTTTTAGGCAACCCTTACTACCACTCTTGAGGGTAATTTATAAATACTTATAAAATTAGTCAGATGAAAGATTTAGATAATAAATAAAATGAAAACGAAGAGCATCACCTCCAAGGCTCAAACTTTATTATCCACAACTACAGAAAAGGGAGGTGGTGAATGGATTGATCTGTGCAATATATATATATATATATTTATATATTTATTTATGAGATTAGTGCTTAACCATTTTATCTCCTAAACATTAAAAAAAAAAATGATCTCAAAATTACATTGTTTCAATAAATTCTTATTGAAAAAAACTAAAATATCATATTTTTAAAACATAAATTAAAGTATTTTTTATCCTTCCCTGTACTTTATTAAAATTACATAATTTTTGGATAATTTTCTTCTTAATCTTTAAAAAATAAGGTGAATAAATACTAACTCCATAAATAAATAAAAATATATATATATTGCCCTGGTCAATCCTTCACCCCTTCCCTTTTCTGTAGTTGTGGATAATAAAGTTTGAGCCTTGGAGGTGATGCTCTTTGTTTTCATTTACTGACCTCTCCTTTACCGTTCCCCACCTCACCCCTGCTCAAGAATTCTAACACGTCTGGGAATGTTGACCATTGTGAAACAAAAATATAATTTTCCCTTCCACAAAATTCTTACTCTGTACAAACAAACGAGGTTTATGGGGTAGACTCCTAAACTTATTGAAATGGGGTGAACATAAGGTACTTCGTAGTTCGCAGTGGCCGCAACTGCACCAAGACAACATGCTATTTAGAACCTATGACTAACGTAAAGTATATCCAAGAGGCATACACACTAATACCTCAAAAGGGATACTAGAAAGATGTCAAGATGCATAACTACATGGGTTGAGAGAAAAGAAAAATCATTCAAGCTCTTGGATACTGTGAACGTCCTTTCTTCTTAAGGAACTCAGGGATTTCTACAGAACCACCTTCATTGAAAGAGGTAGGTCGGCGACCAATACCAAGATTGACGTCTCCTTGTGCTAGCTGACTTGCCTGCATTTTCACCAGAACCCAGTAATTGATATGGACATTTGAAAGGTGCAGGAGGGAAGAGTATGGAAGCAGGGAGGGAAAAGTATCCAAACCTGCAAGGGCCTCCCCTCACTTTCTTCTTGGCGTTTGAATCCCGTAGCAATGAGGGTTATACTCACCTAAGTAAAGAACAAATAGAAAGCAAGACCAATAATCACAATCAGTTGGATGGTTCCTACCAGCCTTTTTTTTTTTTTTGGCTTATCACTACAAAAGTCAATGCACACAAACATGGCACCACGGCAATATCACAAATCTTAGGCATATGCATGTGTTTGGATAAATTATGGGTATATGCTTCTGTTTGGATATATAGACAAGCAAGCAGATACTGACCCTAAAAGGAAAGCAGGGAACCTTTACATCGGACCAATAATAGATTTCCTTGACACTAAGTTGATCCATAAAGCATATTTATCTGTTAGCTACATTTTAATGCTACTTATCCCAATTTTAAACATCATCCAGTTTCTTCTCAATTGATCTCGTTAACAGAACTGTCAGGTGATATGCCTAACATAGCAGGTCAGTCAAAAGTCAACTTGAAGATGACTTCTGATGATCCCAAGCATATGGTGTTTATATATGAATAAGAGGGTAACCTACTTGACCACTAAGAGATGGATCTATCACTGCTCCAAATATCAGATTTGCAGTTGGATCCACAAGGTCATAAATAACCTCAGCAGCAGCATTCACCTACAAGAAATTCCTTTTGACATCATATTTCAGAAGATAAATAAAATATCAATGAATTGAAATGAAATTTTGCTAAAAAAAGGAGGAACAAGCAAAGTAAACAAGGAGGATATTCCAGAGAACTTAGGCTCTTGACATTTAGCTTCTCTGCAAAAAACAAGACCGTTTGTGGTCATCTTCTTGACTTCCAGAGATGTTATTAGCACTATTTTGAATATCTTGTTATGCAATTCAACAAAAATAGGTTAAATAACACACCATTTCAACATATTACGATTGAGGAACTACTAACAAAAATTCAGAGAGAAATAGATTTACCTCATACAAGGTCAAGTCACTTCCACCAGTGATGTTCCACACAATTCCAGTAGCTCTTTCTATACCAATCTCTAGCAAAGGTGATTGGATAGCATTTAATGCAGCATCTCTTGCCCTTGATTTGCCTACATTAAAAGAAAGTACAAGAAATTAACTCTATATCTTAGCAAATGATTAGAACACAATTTCTGGCTCTGAGTCAAAGTAGTTCGAATTAAAAAGACAATTGAAATACTGGTACAAATAAACAAAATGCCTGATGAAATATAGCATCACATCAGGACAAACAGGGGGAATACATAGAATAGAATAGTGGACCAGGGTACCACATTAAGTAATGGACAGTATCGTTTCTTCATTTTCAATTTTCAACTTTTCATTTTCAATTTTTCCCTATAAAAAATTGTAGAAATGTGTTTAATTAATGAAATTGAAAAAAAGAAAAAAGGGAGAGAGGTTTCCATGTTAATATAGAAAAGAAAAATAAAAGGCCCATAAAACCATGATACCTTTTTTTTTTCATCGTTGAAATGTTGGATAACTAACTTTTCTCCCAATTTCCCTCCTTTTGAAAAATTATTCTAGCTACATTGGTCTCAACAACTAAATGCAAATAAAAAACACTAAAATCTATTACAATTACCAGTTGCAGCTCCAATTCCCATCAATGATGAGCCTGCATTTGCCATTATAGTTCGCACGTCTGCAAAATCCACATTTACCAGCCCAGGTACCTGCAGTAAGGAAGATCAAGCTGGATGATGAGTTATGAATATTGATCATGGAAGAAAGTTCTTCTGCAGCAAGGAAGATCAAGCTGGATGATGAGTTATGAATATTGGTCATGGAAGAAAGTTCTTAAAAGTCAACTTATATGCAATACAAAGTACAGATGAAAATATACAAAATCTAAACATTTTAAGTTTCTAACTCCCATCAATAATTTGGCGAGAGAAGGTTGTAAGTTTATCCTCAGCAACTTGAATTTTATAATTTACAACCAATTAGTGTGATAGTACAGGCCAAAAAAAAAAAAAGAAAAAAAAAAGGAAGGAAGATCATGTTGGATGATTAATCATAGTATTTTTCTAAAAGAAGCCAGCTCATTGCATTTTAACACCCTTGCATCAAAAAATTCTTACACATAACAAAACATATTAATGGAGTACCAGCTCTACCAACAGAAGTCTAAGATTCTGCAACTTCATATCACTAAAATTCAGCAGCAGGAAACTAGTTGTTTAACCTCACCAGTTAAGAAATCCTTTGCTCCCACAATAATGGAACAAATATATGAGGTGTTTAAATAATGCGATATACATTGCTTGTGACATTGAAAAAAATATATATGTAGTTTTCTCAGTATGAAAAAGATATTCCATATTCTAATTGGAAGGATGATCATTATCTTCCTTGTGGACTGGATAATATTACAGTTAAACATGAAATGAATGATTAAACTATGAGGATTTCATAATATTTTCTTCAACACATACCGTAATAATATCAGAGATACCACGAACACCTTGCCGAAGGATATCATCAGCCAGATTAAATGCTTCAGTTACTGGAGTAGACTGGTTAACTGCAGTCAATAGCTTGTCATTTGGAATAACAATCAAGGTGTCAACACTGTCTCTGAGAGCAGCAATTCCTTCTTGTGCTTGAACAGCCCTCCTTCTTCCCTCAAAAGAAAAAGGGGTTGTGACTATACCAACAGTCAAAATACCCATTGATTTTGCCACTCCAGCAATGATAGGAGCTCCACCAGTTCCAGTCCCTCCACCCATTCCAGCCTGCAAATGTAAACTTTAAGTCCAGGTAAGAAAATGTTGAACAATGACACCACAGAGTAAGTAAGACCCAAAATTCTGGTCTGCTCATCCTACTTTTTAGTTGCATTTTTAGATAAATGAAAATTATTACACTATGTCTTCATTTTAGATCAAACCAAATGATGAGCAAATATCAATATAACCACAAGCTGTATCCTGACATACAGAGACCCAGCTATTTTGATTAAAAGTTTCAAAAACAGGACAAATCTGATGCAAAGAAACCGTACAATCATCGCAATTTTGAACCTTGTTGAATTAACTTTATTGAATGAGTATATTACAACCATAGTCATATGTGGCAAGTCTCAATTATCATAAATATGCTCACCAGCAAGAAAAAGTTTTCTCAGAATGACATTTATTAATCTTTTTCATTTTTTCATAAGTTAACTAGAAGAGTTAGAGTTGCATTCTGTCTTTCAAAATTTCTGAAGTTCATAAGCAGTCATACATATTCTTGAACCCCACTTATCCTAAAAAACCAGACCACAAACTAGAGAAAAAAGCATAGCACTTTTTTCTCCATAAGAAATTTATCCTTACATCATTAATCTAAATTTGAAATCTTGATATTTCATGTGTGTGTGTGTTTACTATTCAATTATGTACTGCACATTGGATTAATTAGCTGCACTCTACGGCAGCTAATAACTTCAAGAGATATCCAATACATAAACAATAACTAGGTTGAACTTACAGTAACAAAGACCATATCAGCACCATAAAGTGCCTCTTGTATTGACTCTTTGCTTTCTTTGGCAGCATTCATGCCAATCTCTGGGTTCCCACCAGCACCAAGACCCCTGGTTAACTCCTGGCCAATCTGTAAGCGATGCTCAGGAAAGACAGGTGACATTCTCATGGCTTGAGCATCAGTATTGACAATCCAGAATTCCACACCCTTCATTGCACTCGCTATCATGCGATTAACAGCATTTGACCCACCACCTCCAACACCAATAACTTTGATCTTGGCTTCATTATAGCCACTTGGAGTAGATGTGTCTCCCAAGCTCTCAATGACACTTTGACTAGATTTATCATTTCTTGGATTCATAACTGTGTTGTTTCCTTCACCTCTAAGCATTGAGACTTCTGGATGCAGATTAAGAAAAGGGTCTTTGTTGTGATATGGACTGACACTGTGGGAGTTAGCAGAACATCTGACATGAGGCATAGAGGACTTTTGGCTAGCACTTGAAAAACCACTCCCACTCTTCCCATCAGACACTTTCAAGTTACAAACTCTGCCCAAATAGTTCTCCTTTGACACTCTCCCTCCAAAAACAGTTAGCACTCCCGTTGTTCTAGTATCAGAAGGTGTAAAGTATGGTGACATACAAGTCGCCATCTTACAAACAGCAACACTTACAAACAAAGTGATCAAGCCAATAAATTTCTAAGAAATTAAAACCCCCCAAACCTCAAACTCTCAATCCACAGCAACTTTTCCTTCTGAACCCTGTTTAAAAGAAAAATGAGACAATTAAACAACTATCCAGAAATACTTACAATAATTCACCTACTACATACCATCAGGGTCAATCCAGGAGTGGCCAATGAACAAAGAATAACAACAGCAAAATCTCACAAGTGGGTTATCGCTAGAAATTCAAAATGAAGAAATGCTGGACTGTCTACCGCTCAGAAAACCAAGCACACAAAATCCCCATTAAGGGTGCAGCACAAATTGAACAAGTTTCCCATATACCATTCAGAATCACAGAGATAAACCCATCATTAACAGCCAAAATGCATCAAGTAGAAAGTCTACAGCAACCAGATAACGCAATTCAAGATCAAAGAAGAATGCCAACTAAAATTAAAAAACAGTAATCATTGCAAACCCAAAATAAACCCCATCATAGAGACAACATAAGAGAGAAGAAATGAAATATGGGTTTTACAAGGAGAGAGACCTGGGGAAGACTGCAGAGTCCAAGAAGACAGAAACGGGGGTCGAAACGAGGGGGTTTTGCTGTATTTTGCTTTAGGCTAGGGAATTTCTCTTCTTTAGCTTTGCTATTTACATTAAAATTATTTTTCTGGATGATTATTGGTTGATAATTAATTAAATTAAAAAATTAAGTGTAAATAAAAACAACAAAATTCTGTGAGAGAAGGAAAGCAGTGATGTGAACAGGGGGTCTCATGGGGTAGGGTTTTAGCGATGTGTACTTCTGGCCCTTCAATTCTAAAACCCTATTAAAAAAGATTGGTTTTGGTAGGGGCCCAACAATTTGGTAGCCCATTACAGTCATTTCTTTTTCTTTTTTTTTTTGGCAAATCCATTAGTCATTTCATTTTCATACAAAATGGTAAATGTTCTTTTTTTTCTAATTGCATTTTTTTTTGTTTCTTTCATTTTAAGGTCTATTTGAAATTGTTGTATAATGTTATGGTTGTGATTTATGAAAATGTATATTATAAAAGCAATATGAGAAGAAAAAGGAGAGAAAATATTAAAATTACAAGGTAATGAAATTGTTATCAAGTATTTTATTTTTTTTTTTTGGTGTAAGGAAGCCATACAATCATGAGGCTTAGAGTTACAAAAAAAACTAAAGAGATATAATTGGGCCACAAGATCATTTCAAATGCCTTAGAATAACTAAAGAGAAAATTGTGCAAATTGTATACTTTACTTGACTATTGATAAAAGAGACAATGTCTTAATATTGGAGATCTATCTCTCCATCAATAACTAAAAATAATACAGTTTATGTGACTCAGAAATTTATTGATACAATCATAAACTCTAATAAATAAGATCAAAGAAGCAACAAGGTTGACAAACCCTTAATTACAAGACTTGAATGTAGCTCTATTCATGCTTATTCAACAATTTGTACTTGTAAAACCTTCTTAGAAATTTATATGATTTTGAATTAATTTCAAATTAATTTTTATTTTTTGTGAATCCAATTTATTTTTAACCAAAAAGAATTCAAAATACATGTTTAAGAATAGTTTCTACACTTGATACGTTAGATGTATCCCATCGTTCCCCGTGAAAAAAAAAGTGTGGTTATTACTGCTAAAAGAATTATTAAAATTATTA